AGGGCTGGGGATGAACCCTACCAGGAATGAACCCTAAGTGCAGAGCCAGGAATAAGCCTTGAGCACAGCCAGGTGTGGCCCGAAAACAAACAAAAAATATATATAATAGATATCCTCTTACGCATATACATATTTGTTGAGTTATATATGCACACTCCAGAGACTATAAAACAAAGCTCACCTAAGAGAGCTACGCAGTCTCCAGCCCCTGCACCTGGCTGTCTTCACCGGGGACCATCGGAGGGGGACAGGCTGAATTTCCCTCCCTGCCCTGAGCAGAGCCCCAGTAGCCGAAGACCTCCAGAACCTAGCCACAGCCATGCTCAAGGCCACTCTCCACACACAGGGATGAGCCTCACGCTCATGAAGGAACCAGCAGAGGCACCCAGGTGTGCGGGACCCGGGGGTGAGATCTCCAAGCCTGATTGGATCAGGACTGGGCCTTCTTCACTCACATCCCCCATTTTCCAGTAGCTAGGCAGTCACACCCACAAACTGCCCCTGGCGCCAAGTAATCCCATCAATGGCCAAGATCCAGAGACTATAAAACAAAGCTTCCAGAAGTGGGTGGTAGTCTCGGTATCATTTGAGGCCGTGTGACCTCTTATAGTCTCTAAGAGAACTCAGCAAGCTACTGAGAGTATCCTGCCCATACGGCAGAGCCTGGCAAGTTCCCCATGGCATATTCGATATGCCAAAAACAGTAACAATAATGGGTCTCATTCCCCTGACCCTGAAAGAGCCTCCATGCGGTAACATTGGGAAGGACAAGTAAAGAGACTGCTAAAATCTCAGGGCTAGGATGAATGGAGACATTACTAATGCCTGCTTGAGCAAACTGATGAACAACGGGATGACAGTGATACCGTGATATATACACACACAGGTCAACTCAACCAATTAATTCTAGTTTTAAAAGACACTGTGTCTTTATAAAATATAAACAAAAAGGTTTACAGTTCTGCAAATCTTATGTGTGTGTTTTACAATTCCACAAAAAGGGAAATGTCCTAACAAAAAAAAAATAATATCACTTAGAGTTAGGTATATAGCTCAGTGGTAGAGGGCCTGCCTTGCAAGAGGACCTCGGTTCAATCCCTGACACCATCAAAAGCAAAACAAAAACAGACCTAAAAACCTCTTAAATGAATCTTTACTTAGAAATGAACCATATGCAAAAATATTCAATTTATAGCACAGCGGTAGGGCGTTTGCCTTGCATGCAGCCAACATGGCCGACCCGAGTTTGATTCCTCCGCCCCTCTCGGAGAGCCCGGCAAGCTACCGAGTATCTCGCCCGCGCGGCAGAGCCTGGCAAGCTCCCTGTGATGTATTCGATATGCCAAACACAGTAACAACAAAGTCTCCAATGGAGACGTTACTGGGCCCGCTCGAGCAAATCGACGATCAACGGGAGGGCCTTTACTTATAGTCATTTCATATTAAAAAAAGTCAGGTCTGCTTTCCCCCTGCCATTTTAGCAAAGATGACAACTGAGGACACAGCACAACTCCCATTTTTTCAGTATTTATTGTGTGTGTGGATATATGTTTTGTTCTGTTTTGAGGACACACCCAGTGGTGCTCAGGGATCACTCCTGTTCATCTTGGGGGACCATATGGGATGCCAGGAACTGAATTCGGGTCTGCCCTTCCTTGCTGTATTACTATCTCTCCAGCCCACTTCATATATATTATATTTTTTAGTTTATGGGACACACCTGGCGATGGTCAGGGCTTACCCCTGGGTTTGAGTTCAGGGATCACTCCTGATGATGCTTGTGGAGGACCATATGGGATGACGGGGATTGAAACTGGTTGGCTAGGTATAAGGCAAATGCTCTACTTGCTGTACTATCTCTCTGGCCCCTATTTATATATTTAAAACAATGTGGAAACCTCTTTTTAGCCCACAGTATTAATTTTTGCTATTATATTTTTCCTACAGCATTTAATAAAACAACTATTGGTGCTTTACACTCACAACACAGTTGAATTAACTTTCAGTGCAGTGGCTGGATATCTTTTACTTCTCAAACCTAGTAGGAGATGCTGGGATCATTGGGAAGATTTTTTTGGGGGGGAGCGCAGGGAGATTATTTTGAAATTCTAGCAATCATCAAACATACAAATATGAACAAACCTTCCACTATCCTCTTCCAGGCATCATATATAGAAGAAAAACAAATTTATTCTTACTATCCAACATTTACAAAATGTTCACTATATTTAAGAAAAGTAAATGAAATCTTTGATGTCATGTTCTAGTCCTCATATTTTCTTATCAGTTTATTTTTTAAAGAGTACTGCTATTGAACCCGGCAGCTTGGAGCAGAAAAGTGAAAGGACTATGCGTTAATCCAGGCCATCAAGTCTGCCGGAGGGGAAAGGGTGTTGCCCCATTCGCCCTCTCTTCTCTGGAAAGAAGGATGGCGGCCGCATGGGAGCCATGTGGACAGCAGGTATGAGCCGGGGGTGTGGGGGCGACTAAAACCTCATGGGAAGGGGGGCGTTCCGGTCCGTCCTTCACACCCTACCGAGGTCACCAGTTGCCCCCCACGAGCGGCTCTCCAGCACGGCCACAGCCCCAGAAGCACAAGGGCTTAATGCAGAACCCAGCAGCTTGGAGCAGAAAAGTGAAAGGACTATGCGTTAATCCAGGCAATCATTTCTGCCCAGAGGGGAAAGGGTGTTGCTCCCTTCCGCCCTCCTCCCTCTGGAAAGAAAGATGGCGGCCACATGGGAGCCTTGTGGACAGCAGGTATGAGCCGGGGGTGTGGGGGCGACTAAAACCTCATGGGAAGAGGGGCGTTCTGGTCCGTCCTTCACGCCCTACCGAGGTCACCAGTTGCCCCCCACGAGCGGCTCCCCAGCACGGCCACAGTCCCAGAAGCACAAGGACTTAATGCAGAACCTGGCAGCTTGGAGCAGAAAAGTGAAAGGACTATGCGTTAATCCAGGCCATCAAGTCTGCTGGGGGGGAAAGGGTGTTGCCCCATTCGCCCTCTCTTCTCTGGAAAGAAGGATGGCGGCCGCATGGGAGCCTTGTGGACAGCAGGTATGAGCCGGGGGTGTGGGGGCGACTAAAACCTCATGGGAAGGGGGGCGTTCTGGTCCGTCCTTCACGCCCTACCAAGGTCACCAGTTGCCCCCCACGAGCGGCTCTCCAGCACGGCCACAGCCCCAGAAGCACAAGGGCTTAATGCAGAACCCAGCAGCTTGGAGCAGAAAAGTGAAAGGACTATGCGTTAATCCAGGCAATCATTTCTGCCCAGAGGGGAAAGGGTGTTGCTCCCTTCTGCCCTCCTCCCTCTGGAAAGAAAGATGGCGGCCACATGGGAGCCTTGTGGACAGCAGGTATGAGCCGGGGGCGTGGGGGCGACTAAAACCTCATGGGAAGGGGGGCGTTCCAGTCCGTCCTTCACGCCCTACCAAGGTCACCAGTCACCCCTCACGAGCGGCTCTCCAGCACGGCCATGGCCCCAGAAGCACAAGGACTTAATGCAGAACCCAGCAGCTTGGAGCAGAAAAGTGAACGGACTATTCGTTGATCCAGCCCATCAAGTCTGCCGGAGGGGAAAGGGTGTTGCCCCATTCGCCCTCTCCTCTCTGGAAAGAAAGATGGCGGCCACATGGGAGCCTTGTGGACAGCAGGTATGAGCCGGGAGTGTGGGGGCGACTAAAACCTCATGGGAAGGGGGGCGTTTCGGTCCGCCCTTCACGCCCTACCGAGGCCACGGGTTGCCCCCACGAGCGGCTCTCCAGCACGGCCACAGCCCCAGAAGCACAATGACCTAATGCAGAACCCAGCAGCTTGGAGCAGAAAAGTGAAAGGACTATGCGTTAATCCAGGCAATCATTTCTGCCCAGAGGGGAAAGGGTGTTGCTCCCTTCCGCCCTCCTCCCTCTGGAAAGAAAGATGGCGGCCACATGGGAGCCTTGTGGACAGCAGGTATGAGCCGGGGGTGTGGGGGCGACTAAAACCTCATGGGAAGGGGGGCGTTCTGGTCCGTCCTTCACGCCCTACCGAGGTCACCAGTTGCCCCCCGCGAGCGGCTCTCCAGCACGGCCACGGCCCCAGAAGCACAAGGACTTAATGCAGAACCCAGCAGCTTGGAGCAGAAAAGTGAACGGACTATGCATTGATCCAGGCCATCAAGTCTGCCGGAGGGGAAAGGGTGTTGCCCCATTCGCCCTCTCCTCTCTGGAAAGAAAGATGGCGGCCACATGGGAGCCTTGTGGACAGCAGGTATGAGCCGGGAGTGTGGGGGCGACTAAAACCTCATGGGAAGGGGGGCGTTTCGCTCCACCCTTCACGCCCTATCGAGGCCACCGGTTGCCCCCCGCGAGCGGCTCTCCAGCACGGCCAGGACTCCAGAACACAGAAACCAATTTCTTAACTATCTGACTTTCAGTAGAAATACTTCCAGGGTCAATAGGTAAAAGAGCAGAAATCCAAAACCAACATTTAATTCTTGAACCCAGCCGTAGAAAGCAAATCACTTCACAATGCTTTTTCAGCATGTCTGATTTGGGGGGGGGGGGGGTAAACTCTAAATAATAGTGGTGAATCTTTTATTGAAACAATGAATCTAATCAAAGCAGATAGAGTGTTAACTAGAATTCATCTGCCTCACAGGGACGGGGAGGGGTGGGGGGTGGGGTTTTATTGGGGTTCTTCATGGTAAAAAATAAATATTGGTAAAGGGAAATGTGTTTGATATTTGCATGACTGAGACATAAACCTGAAAGCTTTGTAACCTTTCCCACAGTGATTCAATAAAAAAAAAAAAAAAAAAAAGAGTACTGCTATTTATTCAGCCACTGATTAGGCTGATTATCAGTTTACTTTAAATACTAGAAAATTTCTCAGAGAAGGGAAGAAACACCATGCTAGAATGCTAGTGAGTTCAAATATAGTCACCAATTACTGTTATTTTAATAAAGCTATAATCTCCCCCCACAGACTGAATAGAATAATAAGGTGTGAGGCTGCCTTACTTAGTTTGAGTTTGGGAGAAGCCATGTCATCGTCATCAGGCAGTGGACCCAGTTCTTTCCTCTTATCTTTGAGCAACTTCTCCAAGATGTGTGCATCATTGTATACCTATATTTCATGAATAAATCTACAGTTATTTTCTATTGAAATATAATATTATTAATAATATACAACATAGGTAATATCTGACATGTAACTTTGTTTTGAAATACACAATATATATCCCTAAAGAAATTTTAATAAAATTTTAAATCTGTATTAAGAAAACCAATTGGTTAATTGAAAATTTAAAGTTAAAGGGCAACTAAATCACATTTCTGTGGAATAGGTCTAGGTTTCAGCTGGTTTGTTGTTTTAAATTTTCAAGCTGATTCTAGTGAGCAGGCATACAAGACATTTTTGAGAACTACTGCAGAACCATTGGAAATTTTTTTTTGTTTTTGTGATACTAGGGATCAAACTCAGTGATTCATACATGTGCAGCATACTGCTCTCTACTACTGAACTATATCCCAACCCTCACTACAAGTTCCAAATTTACATGTGTTATTTTAATTAAAACTATATTTTTTTCTGTTCCACTAGGCCTTCAAACTAGCAGACTTATCTCAATAGAAAATGATTCAAAATACGAAATACTAGTCTGTCTCTTCACTACCTGGTGGGATGAACATATGCTTTGCAAACAGGAGGAATGGGTTCAATCCTTAGCATCACATTTAGTTCCCTAAATACTTCTGGGACTAATCCCTGGGCATAGAGCCAGCAGTATTCACCCCCAAGCACTTCCAGGTGTGTTAAAAAAAAAAAAAGAAAAAAAAGTGGGAAAAGTATTCCAAATATTGCTAACTTCCAAGTTCAAGCTCACAGTTCTGATTCTTCAATCTCTGAAGATTAAACCAAAGGCAGAGTTTGTAGCCAAGAACTAGGTTACTTACCTACAGAGGTCTCCTTCCAATACTCCCTGCAGGCAATCTTCTGGCAAAGGTTGTATTCTCCTAACTAGTAGAGGGGCTGAAGGAAAGGGTGACTTTGCTTTCTTGACCACCTCCTTTTTGTGTGTGTAATGCCAAAGAATGACCCACGATCTCACACATGCAAGGAAAGTTCTCTACAGTTATTTACTCATTTTTTTAGTTTCTGGGCCACACCCAGCTGTGCTCAGGGTTTACTCCTGGCTCCCTCATAGGACCGTATTAAGTTGCTGGAGATTAAACTCGGGTCAGTCATGTGCAACACAAGCACACTACTTGTGTTTTACTATTGTGCTGTACTATTTCTCTGGCTCCCAAGTTCTCTGCCATTAAACTACACCCCCAGCCTGGACACCTCCTCTAAAGGCAAAGATAAACAGCATACAAGTGGCTATAGGACAGAGTAAACTCTGAAAGAACACTTTGCTGATTATAAGCGTATTTGGCGTCTTTTATTTTGGGACCACGCTAAGTGGTGCCCAGGGCTTACTCCTGCTGGGGCTCAGGGAACTATTCGGGGTGCTGGAAATTGAACCTGGGTTAGCTGCATGCAAGGCAAACACCCTACTCACTGTATTATTGCTCTAATCCCTTGGTGCCGACTTTTGGAGTCATTTTAACAGGCAGAAAAATTACTATTTTAAAACATTATTTCTGTGAAATTTAAAGGATTTGAAACATCAATACAAGAAAAGAGGAATGCAGTCTTAGCTGTACTTATAAGTACTAAGTATAAAGAAGCTTTGAAACAATCAATTTTTGGTGGAGGTTGTTGAGTCACACCCAACTATATTCAGGGCTGTGCTCAGGTTGGGGCTCAGGGTACTACCTGTAGTGTCAGGGATTGAACTTTGGATGGCTGCATGCAGGGCAAGCACCTGAACCACTGAACTAACTCTCCAGCCCAAGATCAATTATTTATAGGTGCACTTATGAAAATATCTTGATTATTTAATTGTACCGTTTTGGGGACCATCCTTAGAAGTACGGCCACCAATTAATCATCATGTATTAATCATCACGTAAAATTTTTTTTTGTACTTTTGGGGTCACAGTGGTGATGCTCAGGGGCTATTCCTGGCTCTGAGCTCAGGAATTACTCAAGGTGGTGCTCAGGGACCATGTGGAATGCCAGGGATCAAACCTGGGTCAGCTGTGTGTGCCCTCCCCATTATACTATCTGCCCCTCACGAAAGATTTTTATGCCACTGGCTTTCACTTGAGTGCTTATCCAATACCAGGCATTTTCTACATTTATTATCTCATTATATACTATACTATCCCCTGATATAAAGTATTATCATTATCCCCAACACAGATGAGGAAAAGATAATTATTTACACAGAGGTTGACAGAAGCAAAATTCAAATTTTGGATGCTAGAATACAAAATTTAAAAAAATTACTGCATCTCATTTTCGTGCTTTGTTTTGGGGCAATACCTGCTGGTGCTTGAGGATAATTCCCAATGACACCCAGGGCCAGGGATTAAACCCAGGTCTTCGACAGGCAAAATATGTGCTCAGCCCTTTTAGCCACTTCTCCAATTCTGTATCCCATTGTATTTCTGTTATTTTCTTTGGATACACCTGTTGGTGTTCAGAAGTGAGTCCTGGCAGAACTCAGGGACTTGAATCAGGGTCAGAAGCATGAAGACAAGTGCCTTACTTCCTATACTATCTTTCCAGAACACACCCTGACTCATTTTAAACTGCTAAGACCATATGTTTTATTTTGTTTTTTTGGGCTACACCTGGCAGTATTGCACTTATGGATGACTCCTGGCAGGGCTCAGGGACCATCTGAGATTCTGGGATCGAACCTGGGTCGGCCACATGCAAGGCAAGTGCCTAACCTACTGTACTATTGCTCTGACCCCACAGAGATAATGTGGGGGTGCCCAAAAAAGCACCCCCTCCCCTCCAAAAATAAGACGACGATGACGAAGAAGAATAATCTCAGTTTGATGTCTGGAATTACACTACTCTACCAGTACAACAGAGAAAATGCGTCTATGCCAGGGTTTCCATATTTCCTTCCATACCTGGGAGCCCTCTTCGTTGTAGTGTCTAGCATTCCGAAACATAAGCTTCATGTCTTCTATCATTCCCTCTTCCCCTGCATACTTGTCATTGCGAATGTTATGTTCAATTATTTTCAAGTCCATTGGCTCTAAGATGATTTTGTAATAATCAGGATAGTCCTTTTTGGATGGTTTAACCATAAAGAGATCACAAAGTCTTCTTCCTGAACCCGGCTCTCGGGCTTCAAGAACAACATTGAATAAGATTTTCATTCGCTGCTTTCTTATATTCTTTTTACTGTTGAAAGGTAAAAAAGGAGGAAAATGAAAACAAGTTCAGTTTTTTTATATAAGGATCAAGATGGAACAAATTAATCTTATGAATAGATGCTTTATAATGACTATAATTTGATTACATATGCGACATACATAGTAAACATGCTAAAAGCTATAAGCAAACATTAGAAAAATTCCAAGATAGTCAAAAACAGTGACCCTGGCAGGAGTAGTCAATGAATATCAGTCATACCTGCTTAGAGCTGTAAAACATATAATTCTTAAAAAAAAATAAGATCTTGACACCCAAAGAAAATAAAATCTATTATCAACTGCAAAACATTTTTATGTGTGATTTAAGATGAATAAAAGTGGAATAAAACTGTTTCCCACTATTACTACCAGTTTTGATTTTCAAACAAACCAAAAATCCAAAAACCAAACCAACCAACCACTGAGAAGTATTTCATTTAGGACAATCATGCCTGAACAACTGAACTATTTAGCAGAAAACAAAGGAGACTGTCAGATGAGGTTCTCTGCAGTGTGTATGTATCTGTCTGTATCTACATCTTAGCATATTACAGATCATTCTGCAATCCCAACCTCGCTTAAAAAAAAAAAGTCTATGATTCATGTGAGCACTAAATATTCATCCCTACACAAGAATCCTTTTCCTGTTCTCCAAATACCTCCAGTGAGATGAAATACTAAGAACCAAAGGTGAATAGTACTGAGCAAAGCACAAGATGCTGCAGATCAGAAACTGATTTTAAAAGTTATTCAAGAGAACCTACAATTTGGTTTACTGAACTTAGAGGAAATGGTATGAGAAGTCAAATAACTTGCCAAAAGTGAATTTTAAGAAGAGAAGAAATGATCTTCCAGTATGATTACTGGTCCACTGTTATATGTCCTCAGGACACTAATAAGAAAATTCTAGCCTGACTTGAACAGTCACCAACTAAACAGATTGTATTAAAAAGAACATACCTTAATTTCTATTTAATACTAAATTCTACACGGTAAGATATAGAGATGCTTCTTGTAGTTGCTGTTTTGAGGTCACATTTGGCAGTGCTCAGGGCTTACTCCTGGCAGGGACTGGGGACCATATGAACTGTCTAGTGATCCAAACCAGATGGGCCACGTATAAGATAAGTGCCCTACCCAGTACTACTGCTCCAGTCAGAGGTAAAAACTTTTGTTTTCAGGCTATATTGGTTTGTTTTGGGCTACCTCACTCCTGGGTTGAGGCGTGTTGGGGGACCATATGGGGTGCTGGAGATGAACACAGGTCAGCTGCAGTCAAGGCAAGTGCTTGACTAGTTTTATTATCGTTCTGGCCCTGCTGAATATTTTATTCTGTTTTTTATCCTCTAAGTGGAAGGAAGATCATTTCTGAAATAAAAGGTAAGTGACTGAGGCTGGAGAGAGAACACAAAGGATACCCAGGTTCTATCCCTGGCACCCCATATTATCCTCTGAGCCCACAAGGAATGATCCCTGAGTGCAAGCCAGAAGTAATCCCTCAGCACTGCCAGGTGTGGCCCAAGAACCCGAGGGGGTGGGGAATTATGTGGCTGAATGGGTTCCTTATCTAGTTACCAAACCCTCCCTCCCTCCCTCCCTCCCTCCCCCCCTCCCCTCCCTATTTTGGTACTCAGGGTTGTGGTTTTTTTTTTTTTTTGCTTTTTGGGTCACACCCAGCTCAGGGGTTACTCCTGGCTCTGCACTCAGGAATTACTCCTGGTGGTGTTGGGGGACCATATGGGATGCCGGGAATCGAACCCAGGTCTGCCATGTGCGATGCAAACACCCTACCTGCTGTACTATCGCTTTGGCCCTGGTGCTCAGGGGTTAATTTTGGCTCTGTGCTTGGGAATCACTCCTGGAAGACTTGGGATGCTGGGGACTGAACCCAGGTTGACCATATGCAAGGCAAGCACTGTACCCACTGTACTATCTGGCTCTTTCTTATTTTAAGTCATGAAGAAACCAAAGGCCATGTGTTCTCTCGCCATGGTTTAAATATGCTTTGAAAACAAAACTAAGAAAATAAAATGCAAGAGAAGAAACTGCTGTCTTTAAATCAAGATTTTAAGTGACTCTGAAAGGCTTACTTCCCTAGCCATGATGGTATTCATGGCAACCTGAAATAACCCAATTAGGAGAGACAAACACCCTTGTTTCCTAGGGCTGAGAATTATGCTCATCACTCAAGGATCAATTCTGGTGGGGTTCAGGGACAATATATTTGTAGTACAAGGAACTTAACCCGGGTTTGCTGTGTGCAAGGAAAGCACCTTGCCCACTATATTCTCTCTCTGACCCTGTCACTGCCTATATTTTCATCGGACCACTGCTGTTTCCTGACTATACTGGGGGCATTCCTGCCATCTCCTCCCATAGTATGATTGTTTCTCTATATCCAGATCCTATTAGATGTGGCAGTTCAGGAGAAGTTTCATGTAGTAGAAACTATTTCTCAAAACATATATCCTGTTGTGATTAGAGTACTTACTCCAAGACTTTACCAAGTGGAAGGAAGGTGAACTTGGAACAAAACCCCAACTCTGGAAAGTTCCACATCTGAGCAGAAAATATTAATCTTTCAGACGTCTCTATAGAAAAATTTCAGAACCTGAATAGGCCATTACAGAAATTTATCAGATATGAATCTTTGGGTCTTACTCGTAAGGGATGTACTTTCAAAGATAACTCAGGAATTCAATTGCAAATCCTTATGCGTAAAAGATTTATTCAATAAACAACTCTTTGTTCTTTGTTCCAGGAATTCCAAGTAGAAGATCATAACTGAAGCCCTTGGCTTCAGCCATCACCATTCCTTTCCTGGTTCCAATACACCACTTCCCAATTATGACTTGGCTTTTCTGTATAAGGTACCAAATATTTTCATCTGCAAGTGAGTCTAGGGCAGATTTTTACAAGACTTGGAACGAGAGGCAGGAGGGTTTGGGGCCACACCAACGTGCTTAAGTGGTCACTCCTGATGGTTCTCAGGGGACTATATACTCAAGGGATCATATCTGGTGCCAGGGATCTAGGAGGGGTGGGTTGCACGCAATGGAAGCATTTAAACTCTGCAGTATCATTCCAGACTCTTTTACAAGATTTTTAAGGGAGAAAATATGAAAAAAAGCGAAACAACTTTGTTACTTGGCAGCTTTGAATAGTATAAATATAAAATGTGAAATCTAATTAGATGTAAAAAAACTGCTCTAGGAACACATGCCTTGCTCCAGCCTTCTGCGATTCCAAGCACCAGAGTCCCTAAGCATCACTGGGAGATCGTAGTAAACCAGAATACCCTCACTACACTATAGGGTGTGGTCCCAACACAGAAACAAAATGTTTTAAAATTCACTGTTTCAGGGCTTACATTACTAATATATTTTCTCCCTTCTGATCACATGAACTGGAGCGATAGCACAGCAGGTAGTGCATTTGCCTTGCACGCGGCCAACCCAAGTTCGATTTCTCCACCCCTCTCGGAGAGCCTGGCAAGCTACCAACAGTATCTCGCTCACACGGCAAAACCTGGCAAGCTCCCCGTGACGTATTCGATATGCCAAACACAGTAACAAGAAGTCTCACAATGTTACTGGGCCCGCCTGAGCAAACGGAGGAGAGTGCTACAGTGCTGATCACATACTCTTTAAAAAGACTGCTGTAACTTATTTCTGTGCTCAAAGGCAAGAAAAACTTGTTACTAGAGTCACTTCTGATCTTCTCTGAATAATTCTGGTTTTATTACTATGTTTACATTCTTTAGATGTTTAAAACATATTTAGGAATGAGAACCACTGGCAGATTACTTTAATCTGGCTGCCAGAAAAAAATCCAGAGGTGGAGCTGGAGCTGGAGCGATAGCACGGCGGGTAGGGCGTTTGCCTTGCACGTGGCCAACCTGGGTTTGATTCCCAGCATCCCATATGGTCCCCTGAGCACCGACAGGAGTAATCCCTGAGTGCATGAGCCAGGAATAACCCCTGTGCATCACAGGGTGTGACCCCCCACCCCGCACACCCAAAAAGCAAAATAAATAATTAAAAAAAAATCCAGAAGTAGGGGCCAGACAGAATATAGGGATTAAGGTGCACACCTGACTTCAATTCGGTTCCTGCTCACCATGTGGTCCCCTGAGAATTGCTGACTTGGAGAGCCCAGAGTACCAGCAGAGTGGGATATTCCTGGTGACCTCTAGCAATGCAACCTTGGGCCCTCACACTGAACTGCTAGTCCAGTTGGCTAAGAGTCACCAGGAGTGGCCCTTGGATACTCTGGGCACTGCTTGGGAGGCCTCTCTCATGAAAAAGCAGAATACTTTTATAATAACTATTATTCCAGCTTGGGAGGCTGCTCTATCTGCTTTTTGTTTGTTTGTTTCCAGTATGAATGCTGAACCTTACTGTCTATGGTTTTTAAAAGTAAACGAATATTTTTGAAATGAGATAAACTCCATATTATAAAAAGACAGATACTGCAGCCAAGAGACAGCACACATGCCAGGCATGTACCTGATCCAGGTTTGATCAGCACGTTTGCCAGGCGCAGTACTGGAGGCCCCCAAGTCCCCAGGGGTGGCATGGGTAATCCCTTGCATTGAACCACTGGTCCAGGTGGCAGAGAATCTCAAGTAGGGCACCCAAGTTTTGTGAGCCACTCTTGAAAGTTCAAAAAAGGAAACATGACAACTACTACCGTCCACTATTTGATATTTTCTGTTTGCTATTTTCTTTCATTTTTTGATTTTTGGGCCACACTTGGAGGTGCTCAGGGGTTACTCCTGGCTCAGCATTCAGGAATCACTCATGGTGGGGGTTCAGGGGACCTAATGGGATGCCAGGGATCGAACCTGGGTCAGTTGTGTGCAAGTCAAAACGCTATCACTCTGGCCTTACTGTGTCTTTTTATTCTTACTAAATATACAGACGGGTCAGAGATATAGGCAGGTTAAGACACTTGCTTTGCATATCGACCAAACCTGCTTCAATCCCT